TACTAGTAGTAACAAGAAGCTACTAGTAACAAGTGCATCGCTACTAGTAGTAACAAGAAGCTATTAGCTTATTGTTTCTAATAGCTTTTTGTTACTACTAGTAAGGCACTTGTTACTACTAGCGTGGCACCTGTTACTAGTAGTAACAAGAAGCTCTTTGTCCTTGAGAGACTTATTCTCAGCTGTTCGTCCGCCAAAGACCACCATCATTCCAGCGGCAGGACCTTCACGACACACCTGCAAGTCAAACAACCCTGCTGGATGGGCATTGGATGGCTTTCTCCAGACCTAAGGGAAGAAAGGACAAAACCCCACGGGTCTTAATTACAGGTCTAAAGAAAAAAAGTAATTAACATGAAATAACAATGCTACAGTATCTCTTTCTCTTTTTCTGCTCTGAAATATATATATATATATATCTTTCTTTCTTTTAACATTTCAGACCCAAGGCCCCATGAGCTGGTTCCAAGGTAGTAGTGCAATACTCGTAATACTCGTGACTTGGAGGCCGTCGCTGGTAGGTTGGAGGCCATCGCTCTCTTTATCTTTTTCTGTTTTCTTTCTCTCTTTCTCTCTCTGTCTCTCTTGACATTTCAAACCCAAGCCCCAATGAGTGGGTAGTGCAATACTTGTGAACTCCAAGTTTTCCAAAACTCACCAAGTCTCATGCCCTTAGCTGCCAATGCAATTGCCATGGTCTGAAGCCTTCAGTTGCAGTCCTAACTAACTGACGAAGTCATAAGACACTTTTCCTTCTTCCTGCTTGAACTTTGGGATATTTTTTCATCCCCACAACCCGGGATGTCATTTTGGGATTGTCAAGCTCACCTCTTTTCCTTTGCACTTTCACCCCTGAAAGCTCCTTTTATCTATCCTCAATGTGGGCTTTTATAGGTTGCAATCATGAGACCACTCACCTGTTGCTCGTACTGACCCCACTAGCGATGGCCTCCAACCTAATAGCATCTAACAGCAAAGGCCTCCAACCTAAAAGCAACCTACTAGCCACCTTCAACCATGAATCACGTTTGCTTATTTGGCCAGTTTGATGCCTCGCAGGCATACAGACGAAGGTAAACAAGTTGGCCTGATTGGTCATTTGTTCTGTGTGTTTGGATGGTTTGAGAACGTAGAACTGGCCTCAGCAGAATGGTATACCCGCGGAAGTGGGCCCCGCTTTCCCATCACCTGGACCTCAAATGAAGGATGAATCTGCACAACAAAAACACACAAACAAGTTCAGCGACAAGACTTCTGGGGCACCTCTTGCCACTGGAAAGGAGATCGCTCGACATCAAGAATCCAAATGTCGCACTCAGCCTGAGAGGTTAAAGAGGTTGAAGATTAAACATGGTGCTTACTAGCGATGGCCTCCAACCTAAAAAAGCCTCCAACCGAAAAGCGATGGCCTCCAACCTACTAACCTTAATTCAACACAGGACTTGTGCACACTGTTCCCAAGTGTTCCTGTTCCACCGTCCACCAACTGTGGCATGGTGGGCCTGCTGTCCGTTGTTGCCACCGAAGACTATGAGTAGGGGCTTGTTGAAAATCATGGTGTGGCCTTGACCAGTTGTGCCACACAGCTTGAATGGAATTGAAAAAACATATTCAAACACCCTCAAAGCAAAGCAAGTAACACAAATAACCTGCAAAGAAAGCAAAGCTGCACACCATATCTTCTTCCAGGTGTCGTCCCCATCACAGGGACTGACATCCACTGAGAACGCTCCTGGGGCCAGTGCGTCCAATGCGTTTGACTTAGTGCTATTTGACTGTTTGGCTCTCCTCATTGCGGATGTCTAGCAAGTACAACTCGTCCGACCTTTTTAAACAGCAAACAGTGCTATTGGACAGCGACTTCCTGCTTCTCTTCTTCTTCTCTTTCTCCCTTTAGACCGCTACCTGTTGGATGTTGAGTCCTTTCCTTTTTGTTCCTTTCTCTCAGTAAAGCAAGCCGATATCACATTCAAACATGGTCGTCTGAGAGTTCAAACGATAGACTGCCGCCACCCGTTGCCCCTCCGTAGATCACCTCTCACAACATCAATTCAGCCGACGTCACTGAAACATGAAGTTCGTCGTGTAAACCTGGGAAAAAGCCAGGCATCTGATGTTGTTCACGCTCCTTCTTCTTTATTTCTTTGTTGAACAAGCTGAATATGTCAAGTAAAAACCGGCACTTGTTTCTAATATTTTCTGTTGGGAGTGGTCTGAAACAAGAAGCTATTAGAAACAAGTGCCTTACTAGTAGTAACTAATTTAATTCTAATAGCTTCTTGTTACTACTAGTAAGGCACTTGTTTCTAATAGCTTCTTGTGTCTTTGCCAACGTCGCACCATTTGGGAGTGGTCCACGCATGCAGCTGCATGAGCAGCACGTGCAAAGGGCATCGTTCCTGGAGAGGCTCTCACGATTTAAAACGACCAACGAACGAGCATCCTCTTGTTCCTAGTAGCGATGCCCTTTGCTCCTAGTAGCTTCTTGTTCCTAGTAGCAATGCCAGGAGCTCCTAGAGTGTGGAAAATACCAATGCATAGGAATGCCTATAACAAAGGACAAACACACGAAAAAAGATTGATGGACTTGTGCCTCTTTAATCAAGAAACGCTACGTGGACCCAAAAGAACAGGAAGAACTTGTGCAGCTTGCTACTAGTAGCTTCTTGTTACTAGTAGCGATGGCCTACAACCTACTTGCGACGGCCTCCACCTAATAGCGTCCTTGCTACTAGTAGCTTCTTGTTACTAAGCCTGCTGTATCTTACCATTGCAGCTGATCTGAACCCTTTGGAATCCTTTGCTTGCACCCTAAACCTGTTGTAAAGACATCGTCGCTAAAGTAAGAACTCAAAGGACATCAATTTTGCACCACAACGAGATATGAATATAGTTGGTGCTCTTGAGCTGTGCACTCTACGTGTTGCTCTTTTTACAAAGCAAACTTCCTGGCAGAATATGGACATTTCACTTCACGCTGAATACAAGTGAGAATTGCACATATGATCACACCTTGTTGCATTGTGCACACTGTTGGTTTGTGTTTCTTGATTTGATGGGGGAGTTGATCCCCACCGACGGGGATCTCGAAGCCTGGCGCTGATGTGTCACTTGCGACCGCACATCGCGCTACTCTCCCCTTCTCGATTGGCTCCTTCAGCTTGCACCCGGGACCAGGTGTTGTTGGACACCTTGCATCCATCAGTCCATTGCACATGTGAAGAAGCATGTCATGTGAAGAACAAGAACATGAAGAATAGCTTCTTGTTCTGTTCGTAGTACGGCCAGGAGTCCCTAGCAGCGTCCGAACGCTCCTAGTAGCGATGCCAGGAGCCCCTAGTAGCTTCTTGTTCCTAGTGACTATTCAAACAGGTTGGAACAAAATTGTGAAGGTTTCACAGATCTTGACTAACGCCCGATCTTTCAGTCGCGGTGGATTTCCAACAGCATGGGCTGCCACGTTGAGCATGAAGGCATCAGCTGTAATGGTGTATCGGCCTGGTGGCAACGTCCCACAAACTTGATAGGTATATAACAAACACCAGGCGCTTGGCCTGTGTCGCCAGTAGCTCCACCAAACAGCACCACTCGACTGTCCCCCACAAAAGTGGTGGTGTGCCCAAACCTGGCAGGGAGCGTGGCCATGAGAACTTGTGGTGACCTGGCCTGATACCAAACACCTGCGCCTGTTCCTACTAGCTTCTTGTTACTACTAATAAGGCACTTGTTACTAGTAGCGATGCACTTGTTCCTACTAGCTTCTTGTTACTACTAGTAAGGCACTTGTTACTAGTAGCGATGCACTTGCTCCTAGTAGCTTATCGTTCCTACTAGCTTCTGGTTACTACTAGTAAGGCACTTGTTACTAGTAGCGATGCACTTGTTCG